AAAAGGGATTTTTTTTCTAAAAATCATTGTGAAGTTACAGCTGCTGACAAGGAGAAAAGAAAACAAGCATTACTCTAAACTTTACTTAAGGAAAGGTTACAAAAATTTCAGTACCAATCCACATTTTGTAATCTTCCTTTCCCCCCTTTAAGAGACTGAGAGAAGAAAAGAAGAGAAGGAACTTTAAATTCATGACATAAACTTTTGAAACTAGTACATTGTCCACAGCCATCATTTCCCAGTATTTTCATACTTTTAATGTATACACAAAGGCATAAAGCATTCATGAAAGCATTTAAAGTTTTACAATTATGGAGATATTTATATAATAGTATTAAAAATTCCAAATTATCTCATGAATCTATGTATCTTGTGTCCTGTTTTCAATTTTACTCAAAATGCTAAAACCTGCTCCCTATTTCAGTATGCTTTAGCTGTTAATAATGAAGCCTTCATTCGGCGAGGGGCCAGTTTACACTTCTCTGAACCACCTGGCATCTTCTCCAGTGTGTGGGTCAAGGTAACTGAATTGCATCAAACCCCACCACTAGGACAAAGGAGTAACACCATGCCAGTAGCGCAAGGTCTCATGAGCTCAATGGAAACTTCACCAAAAATTGTCTGCTGAGAGTTCCCTCAACCTAATCATCGACATATTTTCAGTTAGTCTTTAAAGAAGCCAGAACTAGAGAGACATAAAAGCGAAGTATCACAGAACCAAGTAATGATTGGGATTTAGTCCCCAGCTACAATGAAGACAAAACACGTCCTTTGACATCTTAAGGAGTGCTCTGGCCATGGGGTAGTAAATTAACTGAGTATGTGACAAAGGGGAAAAGGACAGGGATTCTTCCCAGAAAAGTGATGATCTTTGTCCAACCCCCAAGCTGTCTAACCCCAAGGTGCTGCTTTAGTTTTACTTTTCTTAAGCAATGAGGCTATATTGGAGGCAAAATTAATTATGGAAATTTAGGTAACTGAGTAATGGCAAACTGTAATAAGGTGTGGTGGGAACAAGGGATAAAAGAGTAAAAATAAATGCCTGCTAATGACTCAGATTTAATCTTGTGACAGTAGATCATAAAAATAGGTGGGAGAAAGTCAGCAATAGCCTTATTTTAAAGGTAAGGAAGTGGAGGCCCCTAAGGAGATTTAGCTTAACTCACACCACTCAACCTCTGGACATTCCCCGACATCATTAGAGGATTCCCAACACCAATGATGTTTCCCACCATCTCTGTGCCAGTGCTCAAGCCCGTCACAGCTGACAGGCCCCCTTCCCCTCTCCTGATGCCTGCTGGGATCTGAGGTCACTCCCAACGCTCCCTAAGGACTCCTGCATTCTGTAACACCTAGGTTCAAAGTTAAAGGGTTGAGGATGCTGACACCAATGCATAGGCAGGGAATAGCTGAACTGATCTACAGAAAAGCTTTGGCTCTCTTTAATATTCTATTTTTGAGTATACCATGACACAGATATGATTTCAAAATAATGGCAACTTCTTCAGCTGACCTTGAGGAGCATCATGTGAAAAATAAATATCTTCTTTAGTTGTAGGTTTTTGAGATTTTCTTGAAATCCAAATGGTAAAGTCACATTACTTGTGTCTTTTTCTGTCATCACTATGTCCCTCCCGAGCTTCTTTTCTTCCACACCCCACTCCTCTCTGTACAGGTCACATTCATTCTGCTCAGCAGAATATACATTTCTAGATATGAGAACCGTGGCTTATCTCCTTTTTAATTCACTTCCTCTCTACAGATATTGCCCTTGGTACATGGAAAACATAAGGAAATCCTTTTATTTTGAATAAAAGTCTGACACTTTCATGTTTATACATAAATGCTGTTTTAAAAAACAAACTCAGGTTGAGAACAAGAAAACTAAAATTTGATTGAAAGGGAATGTTAGAAATAGCTCAATACAACCAGCATCTCTGTTAGATAAGGAAACTGAGATCAATATTGTAAATGAGTAGCTTAGAGCTCCCCAGTTGGTTGGAACTGGGATGGGACCCATCTTGGTTCCTGGTCTCCGTGCAGTCTCTCTCTATGTACAAATTAAATCAGATACTTATGTCATACAAGGGAAAAATAGGTGAGTAAAAATACTTCATTTATACCCAAGGGTTTTAATATATCTTACATTGTGTGTTCAAATTTCTAACAGTGCCTGGCATATAAGAAAATAAAGATAACTATTTAACCAGCCTGGGTTTCTACATCCATCCCCTTTCCTCCTCTTTTCCTCCAATGTGCATACAAGCCATTTTAAAGACCACCAACCCACCTAATAGGCACCAATCTATGAACCAGTGAGGATGTTGACAGAGTTGTCAGAGATACTTGTAGAAGCCCACGGGTTCTAACCCCAAGCTACTATAATGCCATTGAAGTACTTTTTGAATGTGTTTGTAGGAGATAGAGCACTGCAAGCACTAGCAGAAATGGCTTCATACTTGTGTGAGGGATCAGGTATGTTTCTAAAGACCAAATCTCTCCTTACTTGCTCAGACGTACCTTCTGGAAGACAGTTTCCTATTTATCAGTAAACTTCTTTGGAACACACAGCTGAACCTTCAAGATGGTAGGTTTCTTGAATAATAATTTCTATACACAGGCAGTTCTCTAAGAAGCTACATACCTCACCAATGTGAGTTGAACCATTTAGAATACCAGCTATTTTCTCCTTTGACTTGTTGAAGTCTATTCTTATCCTTCCAGTTGGCAGACAGCTCTTTTCAATAGAATGAGACCCTTCAGGCCATGCTTTGGATTAGTTTACAGCTTAATAAATTCTTTCCAGCACAATGTTCAGCAAATCAAGAAGCAGCTTCCTCCGGGATCTGAGCCTGACTAACAGCAAATTAGGCTTTGGTGGAAGGATTCCTAGGCAGAGGTACCTTCCAGGTAGAGATGCTCACTTAGAGGAAACTTAGACCTTGCACTTCTACACTTAGGATATCCATCCTTAGGCTAAACTAACACAAGTTGTGGATGTTAGGAGTGCTCTCTTTGACCATTGACTGCTGATTTGTAGATTATATTTCAGGCTGAACTAACGCTGAAAACATTTTTCAAAGATTGTTGAAAATGCCACCTTTTTGAAAATTATTTAAATGATTTATAGCAGATGCAGGGTAGTGAGTACTCAGGAGACATTTTCACTAGGCTTTTTTCAGCAACCCACAAGGGTTAGCTTTGTGCTACACTGACCGTAGAAGGTGTTAGAAGAGGCACTGGGGAATTGTTTTCCCTAAATTGGTGCCTGTCCTTAACATATCCTGAATTTTTCCACACTTGTGCTAAGTAACTTGATTCAAAGAAACTTTCTCCCAGTTCATGTGCTGACAAATCATGACCAATGATTTTGTCATCACATGTTATTCCATTGAATGTACTCAAGTCAGACTGCATTAGGTACAAAGCCTTACAAAGGGGATACAGGTTTTGGAGTTGCAGCTAGTTGACTTTGGGCTTCCATTGTGGACCAAAAGCAACTTCCTTCTTTTAGAGTAAATGTCAGTCTAGATGCAACTCCTGACACTCTTCTTTGTTTCAGCAGCCAGTAGTGAAAGATAAAGCAAAGGAAATGGAGGAGCTGCAGCTCTACATTTGCAACACACAAAGTCCTTGTTTTCCCACTAGCACTGCAGAAACGCAATTGTTCATTCACAGCACATCCTCTGCATTTCGGAGCTAATATTTTCGCAGTTCTTAACTTTGGTATATTACAGTATTGTGCATTAAATGGAAACACAATAAATGTCTGATACTTTGCTAAATACAGCTAAATACAAGGACCAGGTTCACAGATTCTTGGTTCTGAAACTTTGAGAAAAACCAAGTGACCGATTTTGGAACAGGGTTAACATAATCCAGTTGTATTGACTGTTGCATAACTTTGGGAAAGATAAGAAGGAGATTCACATTAACCCTGTCTTGAGTGAATTGCTTTTACACAAATTGATGATCCCTGATTTTCCATTCACAATAATGTGCCACTGAAAACAAGGTTAGCTCTGTGCTTAATCCCCTGCTTCCTGCAGCAATTTAGAGTTTACTGTGTGCGAACACATATGCCTGCCTCCTGGTGCAATAAGGCTTACTCTCGCCTTGCAACAGCCACTCAGGCTGAAGCCCAAGAACAGAATTTTCAGATGATTAATTAATCCCCAGGCTCAATCACTTAACTCCCTAATTAAATATCTCACTCTGCTTTCAACTGTTGTAGGAAAAAACAATTAGCACATTTATAGTGTTCACAAAGAAGTATATATTTTCCTTAAATCTTCTTATTAAGATCTAAATCACTGGAAATGTAAGTCAATATTTACATCATCTTTGTAGATTGTAAAAACTAAAACTTTTTTTTATGTAACAAGATGACAAAGTGAATTTTCTTCAAGAATTTATTTTTTGGACACTTCCTATAGATTTTTCTGCCTTTGATCTCACTACCAGCTTCTTTCCTTTTTTCATACTGATTTCTTCATCTTGAAGTTTCCTATTAACCAACATGACAAACTCAAGAAAAATATCTAAATTTCTTCCCTGTCCCACAACCCTCAATAGTCGTTTTACAACATTTTTCTACCTATAACCCCAAAATTAAAACAAACCAAGCTGAACTCTAAAATTTACACTAGAAAAATAAATATCACATTCATTAAAAAAAAAAACAGCTCTCAGCGGGGGTCTTAAAATGCGATGAAAACACAGGAGTCTCCCATGACATTGCATGGAATGAAAGTCTGTTGCCCTCAAATGGTTAATTAAGGGTAAGTGATAATGTTTAGTCAGTTCGCTTAGAAAAAGGAAGGAAATTCAAAAGCTGGTTGCTGTAGTAACAATCACAGTTCAAAAAATATATATCAGTTTTATATATATACACACACACACATATGCACAGGTTCATTTTAAATAAAAATCCTGCCCTTTCTCTGTAACACTGTCCTCCGAAGAAAAATGAACTCATTACTGAAATTTGTTGTACATACCTCAACCATTAAACAAGACATTTAACCATAGTGGCAGTTCTGTAACCTTTGAATGCCGTGAAATCTCTGAGCGGTGCTGCTTGTTCATGAAGACTTGTGCTGCAGAATCCAGCAACCTCATCCAGGATTAGAAATATAATTAAGTCAACAACAACAAAAAAAAAAAAAAAAAGAAGAAGAAGAAAAAAAAAAAAAAACGGAATCACAGAAGCACAGAGAGAGCTCGAGAAAGAAGGAAGGTAGGAAGCGAGACTGTCTCTGGGTGAGTGAGTACACTTTTCTCCCAGACAAGTGCTGGGACAGAGCCCAGCCTACTGCAGTGCCCAGACCGACCGACTGGCTGGGTGAGCGGGCAGCCAGCCTGCAAGGCTGGGAGGTGCTGTCAGTTGCCACAGGCAAGGGAAACCACAGACCAATCGGCTTCAGCGCTGGCAGCTCAGTGGAGTGAAGCCTTTTTTGTTTATGTTTCCTCGTTGCAACAGTGACGTCAAAGGGTTTTGCTTTTCCTCTGCATGTGCTGTTAATTGGAGAGTACTGTACTATGGGAAGAATGTGTTGAGTGCCCATGGGTGAGCCAGGGCACCCCATGCTCAGGAGCACTAAAAGGAACATGCTAAATACTCAGGAAAACATTGATAAAATTTGTAAGACCTTGCAGTTAGGTCTAATCAACACACATTCCTAAATAAAGAAAAATTAAGTAAAAAATCCTGAGCTAGTGAAAAGCAGCTGGATCTGTATTTTTTTTTTCTGTGTATGTGAACCCACATCACAGCTGTTGTCTATTTTCAAATTCATTTGGTTTTACCTTTACCTAAAAATGAGTTGCTAAGGAATCTGGATGGCCAGGAAGATAGGACTGTGCAAACGAGTCAGAGAAGGACAACACAGAGCTGCTGCTTAGGCAAACGCTGCCAATGAGTGCCTGCTTGTCTATCTTTGCTGCCCTTTCTGCGGTAAAACTTCAGGATGATTCTCTCCATGGCCATCCTTCCTATGACACCCATGGGAGTCATTCACAAAGCAGGGCATGGTAAGGCCATGTGCGCAGGCGTGGGGTGGCAGGTGGGGAGGTGGCATGTCCTCTCCCAAAGTATGAGAATGCATGGTTATTTAGGAATACTTTTTCCACCAGGGGCCCCAGCTTAGCCCTGGGTTTCTCTTCCCACTCTGGAAAATCTCGGTGGTGGCCATCTGTTGTTTCTGCCTCCCCCATCTCTCTCCTCCCCTTCCTCCTCAACCACCATCACAGACTCTGCAGGCAGAAACTCGTTTTTTGCTCTTGGGAACTTTCCTTTCTCCACTATGGAGTATATCATCCCCCCCCCCCCGCCAGCCCCACAATATAACTCTAAGAGGGCATGTGACTCCCCCTTGGCTAATCAGATGTCTCCCTTGCTCTAAGACACACAAGTGTTAGGGGTAGGTACAACACTCAAGATGCCTCAGGATCTTTTCAAGCATTGATGTGGAGTCATTGAGAAAGAAGGAATGTCCAATTAGGATCCAACATCATAGCGTTAACAGTCTAACTATAGTTGGAGTTCATGCTGAGTGTTCAGTACTGAGAAAAACAGAATTAGTTCTCAGAGTTTGCATTTTGAAAAACCAGGAACATAGCCCCCTGCCAAAAAATGTAAGTAATTAAATCAAATATCCAGTAGTCCCTCCCCTGTCTACGGGGATGAGTTCCAAGATGTACCAGTGGATGCCCGAAAGCAAGCTTAGTGCTTAACCTTATGTGCCCTGTGGCTCTTTTCTGTATATGTCAATCCATGAAAGCACTTAGTTGATAAATTAGATTCAGTTAGAGATGCATAACAATAACTAGTAATGAACTAGGATACAACACCATGCTGTGGAAGTTATGTGTATGTGCTCTCCCATTTGCTAGCTCTCTGAAAATATCCTTGTGCCCTATCCTCACCTTTCTCTTCTGATGTTTTGAGGTGATGCAAAGCCTGTGTGACACGATGAAGTGAGGACAAAGGGATGATTCACATCTCCAGGCTGGATGGAGTGGGACAGTGTGAGATTTTTTTCGTGCTTTTCAGAATGGCATGCAGTTTTAAATTTCTGAATTGTTTATTTTTGAAATTTTCCACTTTATATTTTCAGGCCATAGTCAACTGTGAGTAACTGAAGCCATACAAAGTAAAACCACAGATAAGGGGGACTGCTTTCATAAGGACTTTGAAATATGCTGAGGTGAGAAGTCAAGGTGTACATGGGGTGTGTGTGTGTGTGTGTGTGTGTGTGTGTGTGTGTGTGTGTGTGTGTATGCGTTCGCATGCTTGTGTGCACTGTGCTGGTAGAATGTCCAGAACAGCACTCAATTATAGCAAGCTTGAGCAGAGGCCCCCATGTGGGCAAGAAGCCAGTTGTGCCTCTGCCTTCTCAGCAGAGGATGCAGTGTCAAGCTCTTGGGACAGGTGACTGTTGAGTATATTCAAGGAAGAGAAATGAGAATAGGCTGTATGAAAGAAAAGGAACAAAGACAAAGAAGCTCAAGGGACTATGTCATGGACAATATCGTGAAGTGTCTTAGACCTTATTCCTGAATGGAAAACCAGAGTGTTTCAAGCTGAAGTAATACCTATGATCTTATGCAAATTTCTAAGTGATCTCTCTCTTCTGTGGGGAAATAGCATCCTGGGGAGAAAAGATAGAGCAGGGAGACCAGTAATGAGACAACAAAACAAGTCGTTGAAAGGTGGTCTTGGCTTGGACTTGGTTTAAAAGAATGAAGAAGGGAAGAAGGTCAGACTTTGGAAAGGGGTGTGTGTGTGTGTGTGTGCATTTGGGGATAGAATTAGTAGAACCTGAAGGTTTGAGATGCTGTGTGAGAGAGAAATCAAGAATAATTCCCAGATTCCTGATTCAGCCAAACTAAAATGGAAGTGTTATTTGTGTACATGAAAAAGACTCGGTAAAAAAAGGAAGAGCTCTGGAGTATCCATCAACAACAATGAACACTATTGGTTGCTCTGTCTCAGGACAGGCTCCAAGTGTAAGCTACAAAGCAATGGACATACACACACACATACCCCTATTTACTATCATGAAACTTAGATACTTCTGTGGGAAGAAAAACTGTAACAATACATTTTTAAAAAATTATATATAGGAGCTTGCATGGTAATAACATCATGATAGGAAAAAAAATGAGAGGGAAAATCCATGGACTAAATAGGTAGTCAAGAGCTTAAATTAAGTATCCAAAGAAGAATTCACTAAAAAAATTAGTGATATTTGAGCACAAATTTGGAAGGTGATACTAACAGGGGGAAGCATCATAGATGGCGGATAATCTGTAGAAAGCTCTGAGGGTTGAGTTGATTGACAAGTTGTATTAGATGGGGCCAATTACGCAGGATTTCATAGGTCAATTGTACAGTCTTTGGATTTTCCTCTATATGGCATAGCCTTTTAAGGAGAGGTGTCAGGTGGTCTTACTTAATTTTAACAGAATCACTTCAATTGCCATGTAGGTTCCATGGTAGATGAAGACGACTAATAAAAGGAATAATGTAAACTGTGATGGCTTCAGCCACAATGTTTTTGGTGGAGGTCACTAAACGTAGTTGACTTCTATCTCTACTGTAGTGTTAGAAACAGTAAGATTTGTTAAATGCATTGGATGTCAGTATAAAGGAGGAAAATTAGTAAGAGGAATCAATGGCCTCTCCAAAATCTGGAGTTTTATCAGAAGGGAAAATAGAGCTGACAATAACTAAGAGATTGGGGCAAGGGTAGGGGCATGGCAGGCAACAGATTTTTTTTGGAAAAGTCAAGAGTCTGATGTTAAATATGTCAACAGTCCCTGTAAAGATATTCTCTTGAACAAGCTGCATAAGTGGCTGAACATACAAGTATGGAGTTTAGAGAATAATTCCATGCTGTAGAAACAAATTTGGATCCATTATACATGTTTTTTAAAGCCATGGGACAGAAACAAATGCAGATGGAAAGGCTGCAAGAAGTCTACTGCTGTCAAGAATAGGAGGGAAAACTAGCAAAGCAGATGGAGAAGGGATGTTTAGGAGGTCCCAGAAAAACCAAGAGAGGACAGTCTCTCAGTAGGAAAATGAAATATTTTACTGAACAGCTGTGTAAAGTCAAAGTTAAGAGAATACAGAGAATGGACCCCTAAAGATAGAATGTGAAATCACTATTTCATTTGATTTAAAAGTAGATTCAGTGCAGTTGAATGGGTAAAAACCAAGAGAAAATGGGAGAGTTGAAAATAGCGTGCAGGCAGTTGCTTCAAGCTTTTTTTTTTCTGAGGTGAGCACACAAAGGGGACTGTAATTAAAAGGGAGAGCATTTTTTAACATGAGAGAAAAATTGGCATTTTGTTTGCTTGTAAGACTCAGTTGAGAGGAGTGCATGACGGGCAGAATGATCCTCCAAAGACACCTAGGTTCTCATCTCTGGAATGTGGGAATATGTCACATCACTTGGCTAAAGAGATTTTACCAATATTATCAAGATGATTTGGTCTTAAAAACAGAAATACTTTTCTTGGATTATTAGTGGGTACCTAGTCTAATCTCATGATCCCTTAGAAGAAGAGACTTTTGTTTTCTTGAAGGGAAGCAGAAGAAGAGAGCAGAAGAAATGACAAACAGCTTCTCCTTGAAGAAAGTGACAAGTAAATTTTAAAGGATATGAATGAGGAACTCTTGAAAAGGGGTGGGCTAACTGAGATGACTAGAAGACACTTTAGGAAAAAGAGTTGGAGCTGCAAAAGTGGTGCTAGCTGAGATGATAGCACTTACACACATACAGGTGAGGATGTAGAGAGTGCATTCAAGGGTCCAAAGTAACCTCAGTGTGACGTGAATGGCAGAGAGAAAAGGTAGGGCAAGGCCATGTTAAAGGATCAAAACTTAACAAGGGAAATGTGGAGTTTTAAACAGTAAAGGACATGATCATATTTATGTCTTGAAATGTCACTTTGTGACTTTTATGGAGAATGTAAGACAGTCTGAAAACAACAAGAACAACAACAATAACAACAACAAAAACAGGACAGAGAAAAAGTATGGTAGCTTGGATGGGGCAGTGGTAATGTGGCCAGGGAGACATCAGAAAATTTATTTTCAAAATGAAGCAATGGGATTTGGAAATAACTGGAGAAGATGAGTGAAGAAGAAGATGGCAAGAATGAGGGGTGAATCATTTAAGATTGGAGTCAAATTTTAGCCATTTCAAATGGAAGCCTTTTGTTGAGTAAGTATGCAAGGAAAGGTGATAGGTTCACTTAACATTTAAATAGATATGCTTATGTTGTTATGAGCTCAGAAGAATTTACGCTGGAAGAACAGTTTTGAATAGAACTATATCGGTGAGTTTCTGAACCCAGGAACTTTATATCTAGG